CGCGGACGCTGCCTCACGGCAAATCACATGATATTCAGGATTACTACATATTACAGTAGAGTATACATCATGGCAGAGAGTACGAAACGTAACGGAGTTGGGCCCAGTGTGTGCTGCTTCAGAACAAGAAACAGCTCGCTGCTGAAACACCGCTACTCATGCCATTTAACTTCTGTGTTGTTCAATTGTTGCCGTCGGATTGCTCACAGGCACATATCCCAAGGCTTCAAAGAATTATCATGTAAATCACGCACACAGTATTGCAAACCACCCCATTGAGGGCCACTGTTCTGGACCATGATCGCACAACGCCACTCTGGGACCGGGGCGGTTTCAACCTCGGCCAAAAACGGGCACTGGTACATCACGAGCCGGCTTCAAGATGCGCTGTAGCTTTCGGCATGCGATCCCTAATATCCATGACTAGATGCGACTGCTCCTGAGGAACATGCTTCTTCCTGGAAGAGCTTCGAGCACAAGGTGGCCTTGCAAGGATCCATGCTCAGATGCCGCAGGAAGTCTGTTTCAGGGGACGAGTCTTCCGTCTTCGGCCATGGTCCCGTGCCCCTCTCCAACCTGTTTCACACCGGGGGTTGCGGTTCAGGTCAATCTCTTGCATTGGCGCCCTGAGGCTCCGTGAAGTTCGCGAAGTTTGACTGCCGGTATGCGATTGCACAAGTCTCCTTCTCCCTTGCTGTCTGTCTCTATCCGGCAGGCCGTTGGCAAGCTGTTCAACATGTCCACAGCTCCGTCTCAGAAAGCAACGAGTGCAGACGTCCGGTCGAGTTTCAAACGAACGGGCTGACAGCACTGTAGCAAGTAGGGTTAGAATTAGAAGCAATTCAAGCAGGGTTGCTACAACGCCTTGGGGTTTGGGACTTTTTAAGGCTAAATTCTAAGGTTGGACAATTTAGGGCAGAGCTTCGGTTTGATGGGATCTTAGATGTCAATTCAAGTTGAAGGTTTCAACTCTCACAACTTGGCAAACCAGGGCGAGGCGTCTGGCTAACCCGTCGGGAACGTTTAGGGGTTCTGCCGTCGCAAGAAAGGGTGTAGCTAGTCGTAGTATATCTTCACAACCACCGAAGGCGGAAGGATGACAACGACATAACTGGAATGTTCGATTGGACTCCTCCGGAATTCAAACATATGAGCTTCAGCGCTCACAGCTAAGCAATTCCTGGCGAAGTTTGTGGGTAAGTAGTTCTCTACCAAAAGAGGCTCTCGTTGCAAACCTTTTCTCGCATCTCCCGGGGCGGAGCCGCCTTCATGGAAATGACCCTCCACCCTTCGGAGCTGAAGGCGCGAGCCGGCATTGAATGATCTCGTGCGCAAGGTGGCGAGGCTGCCAGATCTGGCAGCTCAAGGTGGGAGGTCACCGGGTCGTCAGAAATTCGATCACCGGACAACACACACATACACACACGAATGGCGCAGACTGCCCAAAGAACTGTACAGCATTGGGCACGCTGCCGCCCATGAATATCTGCGTGGCGTGGCATCCCACGGCCAGAAGTTCGACAACAACCTGGGAGCCCTCACATCAGCAAGTCATATTCATGCTTGTTTTGCCTGCTACAACCGAAACTGCAAATCCGAAGATGCGCTGTCACCACTATACTGTTAGTCGCAAGCTCACCCTACTGGCAACACGTGGTTGCAAAGATCCGGTGTCCAAGTCCCAAGGTTGTGCTCGGCTCAGTAGCAGACGGCGGAACCTGCATTGAGACTCGGTCTTTGATCTCCTTGGCCATCTGTGCGAAGGCCTCGTTGACGTTGTCGTCATGCTTTGCACTGGTCTCCAAATAGCGCACGCCGAGCTCATCTGCAAGCTCACGGGCCTCGTCGTAGGTAACTGCCCTTTTGGATGCCATGTCGCACTTGTTGCCCACAAGCATCTTGTTGATCCCAGGCTCAGCATACTTGTCAACTTCCTCCAGCCAATGGCGTACATTGTCAAAGGACTCACGGTGCGTGAGGTCGAAGGCCACGACGATCCCATGCGCGCCTTTGTAGTAGCTGGCGCCCAGGGTGCGAAATCGCTCCTGAGCGGCAGTGTCCCAAATCTGCATCTTGGCCTTCTTGCCATCTAGGGACATCGTCCGGGAACGGAAGTCGATGCCGCAGATGAGCCCAAGCTGAACGCCGGCGGGGCCGTCGGAGTAAGTGTCGTCGGTGAAGCGCAGCAGGAGGCTCGACTTGCCCACGCCATAATCCCCGATCAGCTTAATGCGGAAGAGGTGGTCATGGTCGCTGGAAGCGGGCCGCACAAGATTTGCCATGGCGTCAGCAAGGAAATGTGGAACTTCGAATCTTGCTACTTTGAAGATGTGGGGCCTGGCTGGATTGAGCCCAAATACCAGGATGAAGCTTTAAAGGTCGGTCTTTCCTCATTTGGAGAATCGGCTGTAGTAAGTCAGGAGCTAGCCAACAATCCCGATAAAACAGCAGGTGCAATTCGACTGCGCCAGCGCCTGCCCTACACTTAGACTCAGACCTACTCCCCCTGTAAACTACCATAGCCTGTTAGTACTTGTACAAAAGATGAACAATCATAGCTGCCATAACTTTCTTGTGAACCTCAATATCTCTAGGACTCTAGGATAGGGACATATAGTGACCTCAAGATCTGCAAAGCCTCAAGCAAGAAAGCCCCAAAACTAAGCCCTAAACCCTAAGCCCTAAGCCCTAAACCCCTAAACCCCTAAACCCCTAAACCTCTAAACCCCTAAACCCTAAACCCAGCGATGCCTCGCCCAGGTGCTTTCGCCTTGCACCGCCGAGATCCCGAAGCCAGCTCCAGAGGAAAGGCTCCGCCTGAAATAGGGGACTCAGAGACTGGTCTAGGCTTTTCAGGGTTTAGGGTTTAGGGTTTATTGGGTTTATAGGGTTTATAGGGCTTTTAGGGTTTATAGGGTTTAGGGACAAGGAGGATGGAGGCCCTGGAGTTCCCACATGCTCCAGAAAGTGAGGTAAGGAGGACGTCGAGAGCCCAGAAGGGTGGCCGTGCGGACGGTCTAGCGAACTTAACGACCATGGGGGAAGCATAAAGGAGTATGGTGTGTCAGTACGGAGGAGAAGTATAAAAGACTACTGGGTGCCTGCATTTCACGAATGATAAAGTCTGGGATCAAGTTCGCTTACAGCGTTAAGCGGGATCACGGTTCCAACGGCAGCAGGCCTGTATCGCGCGGCGGTGTTGCTGTTTCCACGGCCTTCCAGCACTGGTGAATGAGCATGCCATAGAGGATCAGCCACGAAGCCCACCGGTTTGCACTTTGATGCCTGCAAGACAATGCCTCCCCACTCCCCACCTTGCACGGACGTCGCTTTCCGGCACTTGGCGGTTGTCTGCCGTCGCTGCCCGGGGTCCTCAGCTGCCAGGTTGCCGGGCATTGAGTCTCAGGTCCCTTGGCCCTTGCCCTGTAAGGCATGGCTCGTTGATAAATATGGCTCCCGAAGAGCCCGCCTCCTGAACTCCAAAGTGATCTAAACTATGTTCATCACCACGGAGGCGAATCAGCATCACCAGTTGCATTGCCATCATCACCATCATCAACAACAACGTTAGCAGCATCGGCCTGAAGTACATGTCACTCTCAGGGCCCCTTCTGGGATATCTCTCTGTCGGTCGGCCTCCTTCAGGATCTCGCCCGTGCGGCACGGCAGCATCGCCTGGCAGGTTGCTTGGCAGATGCTGCATTCCGTGTCACCTTCTGCTTTGCCAGTGTGTAGATATAATAATTGCATGAGCGTCCGTAGCATGGCGGAGATGACTACGACGAGTCCGGCAACTGGGAGGCCACACATAACATCCAGGATACAACATACCCTGCAAGACATCAGGCACGATGCCATCAAGCCAAGCTCGTGCAGCAGGCCCTTGAGGGTTACATAATCGTCTCGCCTGCGGTGCTTGGAAGCAAGCACAGGCTTATAACAAATTATAGAAACAAAGCACCAGGACGAGAACCTCGGCCAGGAAGGCATAAACTAGTGATGCTGCATCACAGATGGACCCGAGACCCTGAGGCAGCCTGCGACAAGACGTCCAACTCTGTCAGCAAGTCCTTAGCAATCCGACACGCTTCGGTCTTTCAAACTGCTTTCTGGCCTGTTCCAACAGGGACTCTAGAGCTTACCGAAGACCATACGGGACCCAAGCCAGAGCGTGGAATCTTTCAGCTGACTGTCTTTGGCTTGACTACGGCTTCGTCAACGCAGGCTATGAACGCCAGAGAAAGTCGTGCGCCCAGCGACGACTGGATGTTTTCCAAGCTTAGCTGTGGTCACAATGTAAAACTTGAAGAAGCTAACGTGCAAGGTTTTGCATCCTTTGAGGAGTATCTTCATTTGCATGATATCGGCTGCATGTTGGCCGCAAATGGCTGCCATGAGGCTCTGGCCGTTTGGACGCACAGCGAACCTGGCCAATTTTCTTGGCACTTTTTGGGGGCACAGATTTGCAGACCAGCATCATGTAGGGTTACATGCCACGTCTTGTCCCCTATACACTGCTTGGAGAAAACGATCAGCGGCCTGCGGCTTCAGAAACGGGTGTGGCCACAAAATGCCTTGGCGAACCCAGTGGCCTTAGCTTCAAAGGCAGAAACCCATCTGCGACACAGGGAGATGCATGCTGAGCGCAAGGCTCCAGCAGTGCGGTGCTGCCCGGTGTAGCCGGGACTGAGGGTTCCCCCTGGACGCTCCGTCCGAAGTCACTTCCGTGGCTACTCAAGTCAGATCTGCGATCGAGGCCTCCTGCGATCGCGGCGTCTGCACCTGCGCGGAGGTTGCTTTAAGTTCCCAACCCTGCAGCTCATATACTACGTTTTAGACTTTGTTTTCGTGAGATGGCATGGACTGGGAGGTTGAAGGGGCTTTAAGTTCGTGGGCTCTTGAAGGGAAGTGCAGTCCTGCAGTCAACAAAGAGGGGCAGCAAAGATGCTTCGCTTTCCTCAATGAAGAGCCCATTGCCTATAAATCCCCTCATCAGACCCTATCTAGAGCCTCCGTGCATAGGTTGAGCCATCATTCATTCATCTGACAGCTTAGAAATCGAAACCCCGACCGCGCAAACCCCAAGCCCCAGCTCGCCATCTCGCAACACAAATACACCTCGCACGCGTCAACACGCAATGTAGGAGCCTTAGAATGCAAACTAGCAGGAGGCGTTTGGGGGTATATTGTAGCAAAGCAAAACAGGGACTGCAAGGGGATATCATCTACAACTATGATATACGATGCTACATTCTGTTACGTTTTCTTGTCTTAAAAAACTATGCAGACCCCTTAAAGTAAATGCTTCCCTGCCTCGAGCACTCCTAAGGAGGCTCGCCCGACAGATGCCGGCGTCAGCGTTTCCACCTCAGACGCAGGTTCAGGGTTTAGGGTCCTTCCGCGAGGGCTTAGGGTTTAGGCTTGTCCTTTGCGGGCTTAGGGCTGCTTTGAGGGGTTTAGGATTTAATATGTTGCCGACATGCTTGAAGCTCGGGGATGCTAGGGGTGGATGTTTGGAGGTCCAAGCATATAGTTGAGCCAAGTGGACGAAGACATCTAGAAAGTTTTTCAGGAGCTCAACTCCATGTCCTGAGCATCCAGATCACGAGGAGTCTTAGGGGCTTCAGAGCCCAGATCTGGCCATGAGGTCGCTTCGCTGGGCAATATCCCAGCATGGGAAATTTACTGTTCTAGGTCCGTGGGGCTGAAGCTGACAGTGGTGCTGTTCACTAGTACAAGGCAGTAGCAGTAGTAGTAGTAGT